CCCAGTGACAAGTCAATTACTTGTTTAAATTCAGTTTGAACTCTCTGAACTGAGAGAGGCCAGAGGAAGCAGGTTTTCCCTGTGAATAAACAAAAGAAGAAAAATGTAAAATCATTCCAAAACACTGTGATTTTAGGTTGTGGAAAGAGTACAATTAAGCATTACAGCAGTTCTGATTTCTTCTTTTTTGAACTGGCAACTACGTATAGGGTTTGCAAAATCAGTTTTCCTCTAACTCCCCAGCAAGGGAAGTAGTGTAATCAGTAATATTTTAGAACAAACAAAGAAAAATGTGGATTTTCTATTACCTTCAGTTATGAAGTGTTTCCATGACCATAGCCCCACAACATATTTCCTTCTGTAAAATTTTGAACCTGTCCTGAACTGTGGACTTCGGAAGTCAAAACCTACCCAAAAAAAAGATCATAACCCAAAAAAAAGATCATAACCCTAGAGCTATCAAAGGCTAAATCTTGAATATAAACCAGAGTGTAATTTTTTTTTAAAAAAGATTAACTCCTCCTCAGGTGAGAGTTTAATGACTTTGACCAACAAGAATTGTGTGATTTCTTTTCTCTGTGGATGAGGGGTTTCAAAACAAATAGATTCCATTCTCAGCTAAATAAAAAATTTGAAAGCACTACTGCTTAACTATGGGAGAGAGGATTTTTGCAGAGAAAATCAGTACAGTTTCTTTTAAGAGCTCTGAGCATAAGCATCTATCAAGATTATTTCACTGTGTCTATCCTCGTGGACAGCAGTATCAGACGTTACCTGGTCCACCATAAGTATAGTTTTAGTTCTACATTTTGATTTGTATAACTGCTTACATATTCTTATTCATTGAATAAGAATTTTAATAAGTAAGTATTTGGTCAGATTCCACCTATCTAAAAATAAAGCACTTCCACAAAGATAAAATTATGGCAAATGAAATTGAAAACAAAAGTGGCGAAATTTCCTGCTAATGGTAATTTAAGATCGCATCATCAGCGCTCACCAGCGTGTGCATGTGTTAAACGGTATAGAGAAACCTGTAATTATTGTAATTGCTCTTTTCGCTTTATACTAACAAGCTTCAAACCATGTTTCAAACTAGTTGTTTTGAAATAGTTATTTGTCAAGTCATCAAATCTCAGAAAGTAAATGGTAATGAGCTTTATATTCTGACTGTTGGTCATAGGATATAGCTTTTCAGCTCCATAGAGTTGAGAGAGGAGGATGGGTGTTCATTTTTTCTGATATCGAGGGCAAAAAATAAAATAATTTCATGATTCCTTGCTAAGATGGAAAAAAAGGAACATTTTAATTCCTAAATCTCTCAGTTGGGAATATGTTCTTAGGAGAAAGTTTTTCTCTGAATAAATCAAAATCTCAGCCACCTAAATTGTTTGAAGCTAAAAATCAGGATATGAAGTGTTTAGCTTTTTTTTCTTTTTTTAAGTTACCACAGGAAGTGCTAACATAGGAAGCTTAATATCTAAATAGCACCAGTAATAATATTTTCCAGTGCATTTTACATACCTCCCTTTCTTTGTAAACCTCACAGTTGGTCCCGGTAGCCTCATGCAGGTAGGAGCTAGGTTTTAAAGTTTTCAGTAGTATATCAACTATGTAAATTCCATTTAGTATTTTTGGAAGCTATTTCATAGACTTACTATTTTCAGAACCATGATTATAAATGAAAGTAGCTGGTATAAATGCATTAGTTTAAAAAATGATTGTTTAGCTACTATTACAGAGCAAAAATTTGCTTAGGTTCTAATATAATTTTTCAGTTCCCCACTGATTCAAGAAAACAGGACATACCAAAGAGAAAAAAGCATGCAGGAAAAACTTCCTTAAGTGAGCATATTTTGGAGGATGGTTGACAATATAAAGCATTTCAATTTACTCATTTTAAAATAACAGTGAAGTTTTTCTTTTTTTCCTTCTGTGCATGATTGCTTATGAGAAAATTGTGTTTATTTTGTTCTGTAGGTTTAAGTTGGTAAAAAAAATTCACCAGACACATAATCTTGATATTGTGGCTACATCTTGTTCTTCTGCCTCTGATTAAATTTCAAAAAAATCGCAGATTCACAGATGCCAGTTTGAACCTTTCTCTGGTGCTAATTTCTTAGAAAAGATGGACCAGTTACATATTTGGTTAATTTTACTTAATCTCTAATTTCTGGTAGGTTTGAGCATTTTGAATATCGTGTTGATAATTGATAAGCATCCTTGGAGCTCTAGGTGATGGCATTGTTTCAAGGAAAAGGAGGAGGAAGGATAGTGGAACACAGAGGGGGGAGGGTTGAGGGAGAAAAGTGGCCAGGAAAAGCGGTCTGGTAGCTGTTGCAGTCTTTAAATACCTTTCCCACTGATCCACAGGAGGTTGTGCTGAAGAATTGTGTGTTTCCTGTTCCACTCTAAGTGTGGTTTGTATTATTCTCCCTATTTGTGTGCTCTTGTGCTTTGTTTTTGTTCTTTTTTTTCTTACCTGAAATTGCAATACCACTGCGGAGGCTTGAGAATTAGTGATTTCTTCCTGGTAACTTATTTTGTAAATGGCCTTTAGCAGAGTTTGATTTTAGATGTTGTCCTGTTTCATTATTCTCAGTGTTATGTGAGTGTTCTTAAGCCCACTTGCAACTTCTGTCACTATGATGCCACTGAGGGGGGAAAAAATGCTTTTGTGTCATTTCTTTAGAATCACTGTGCAGGCTGTATATACGGTCAGCAACCTGCCATCAGGAGATTTGTTTAAAAAAATCTTTATATCTAATCCCATGAAGACATGTAGATAGGTTGTGACAGTCTTAATAGTTGTTGTAGGATTCAGGTTTACTCTTCTCTTAAAAGAAACGCAGGAAGAAAGTATTTGCTGTGTATATCAAACAAATACCTGTAACTGAGAGTCTCAGGACAGACACACAGAGGACCACTAGGCTCTTTCCCCTTTTTCCTCTAGTATCATCAGTGTTACAAAAGAGCTCATTTTTCACAGTCAGTAATTTTAGACTTTAGTCTTTCAGAGTCCGTATATTTGGGGATTTAAATTAGCCCTTCATACTTCAAATATAACTCTCAAGTGGCATAGGGTAAAGTTATATGTGATAAAGTTTATTGATTACAACAATAAGATTTGGGACTCTTGTGTATTTATAAAATGTTTATAATCTATTCAGGAAATCATCATAGTCCTTAAAAAAAAAAGTATCTGTATATCAGGAAACACAGAGGAATAGTCACAAAACTGAAAGAGCTACTTGTATGAAATAATTATATTTTGAAGTATGAACTGATTTGCTAAAAAGCTATTCATGGAATTTTCAGAAAACTTCACTCGTTGGAGGCTTTTGAACATTTTAGCATCTGTAATAAACTACTTGGCACATTTATTGAATCATCTTAACGCATACAGATACTATTTCATTTTGTTGAGCAAAACAGATTTATTCTTCTGAAGAACCGTTCTTGAGGTTTGGGGCTTGAAGGTGGTTTGAGACTTAGGTGTGACTGCATTTCAGCTTTTGGAGACTCTCCTTTCTGCAGGGCTGAGGATTTAGGAGTTAGGTTCCAAACTACAGCCTCTTATTAACAGATGTATTTATGTCACAATACCATATTCTGATTAGAATTTTTAACATTCACATTGCTGATATTTGGGTCTTTCCATTCCATGTTGCCTCAAGTCCATACTGAGTTGTCTTCAAATTCTTCTTATTTCTTCAAGAAAGCTGCACATGTTAATCGGGGCATTTTATTCAAGAGTAACTTGAAAGGGACACCATGCCTATAACATTTTATTTGGGAGAGTATCCTGTTTAAAGGCAGCCCACCCCCAAATGGGGATGAAGAGTGGGTTGCAAACACCTGAGAAGTCAGGGGTGGGAGGAGTGTAGATGATGGTCTAATTTCAGCCTCCACCGAAAAAATGCAGGCTTTGGCACCCTCCAGGGACCCAGAGCTGTGCTTTCCTGGAGACCAAATTACACTCCTCTGAAGAGAGGGCACATTGAGGTAATTGGTAGGACCGAGTGGGGAGAGTTGAATTCCAGCTGCTCCCATTGTAGCCGACCTGAAAATGAACAGGGGATGTTAAGGGTGGAGGCTAACGTTTGACTTGGGTCTTTCACCTCCCAAACCTAAGGGCGAGAATTATAGAGTCCTGAATGGCTGCGCTGATAATGATCCTATTCACGGGGGAATTGCCATGTTGGGGGAAAAACTCTCACACCATTTTAGAAATAGTTGATGCATTTACCAACCACAGTCCTGTTTCTGTAGCCTCAAGAAAGTTTATCCACAGGATGGAAACACTCCTTGTTTTTATCGCCTGCGTCTTGGGTTCTCACCTCTTTAGGTTCCATTTGTTAATGCTCATAATGAAAGACATTTGGAGGGTCCTGGAATCTCATCTCCAAGAAAGGAAGCAAGAAGTGGAGTGTCTACACTCTCTTTTCCCTAGAATGTGTGCTCTTCTTCTTTTTTTTTTTTTAAGGAGAATGATGCTGTATTACTCAATAGCTTTTCTCACGAATAAAACAAATTAAATTGATGTTACATGCATATTTAAACCCCATCCAGTTAAGTACTGACGTGATTAAAATAATCAAATGTATTACTTAAAAAATTAAAAAGGATAAATTCTGTACCCCATTATTTTATTGACTTTTAAATATAAATTGCAGAAATGTTTACATTCCTGATGGCATTATTAAGCTAAACTGACAAATCAGAGGAAAAAAAGTTGATTGCCCAGCACATTATTATTTCTGCACCTGTTATTACAATTCAGAAGTGGAGTCTCCGCACACAGGAGCCGGATGGATGCTGTTTTCTTAGGCCTCCTTTGTGTGACATGGGGGTTGGGGTAAATGTTTAACAAGTGTAGTTTCACTTTGTAGTGCCTTTTTGTGTGTTGATGTGATTAAAAGACTACAGTGTTTTTCATGTAGCTTTGAAATTAATATGCACATAATAGGGGATGGTCGAGCTCTTCCGTACTAACTGCACTAAGCCTCCCTAAGCAGAATGGCAGAGGGTGGGGTGCGGGTATCAGCTTTTCAGTAGACGCTGCTTAAGTATGTGCTTCGTCGCTCAGTCCTGTCCAACTCTGCGACCCCATGGACTGTAGCCCGCCAGGCCGCTCTGTCCATGGGGGTTCTCCAGGCAGGAATCCTGAGGTGGGTTACCGTGCCCTCCTCCCAACCCAGGGATTGAGCCCAGGTCTCCCACATTGCGGGCAGATCCTCTCCCTTCTGAGCCACCTGGGGAGCCCTGTTTATAAGTGGCACCAACTTGTCATCTCTGCCTTATGAATCTGTAAGGGGAAAGAAGGGAAGAAGAGGGGCATATCAAATTAATTTAGGTAGGGTTGCAGATCTGAGCTGAAAATCCTTGAGAATTTTCTTTTCTTGTTATGTATTGGCCAGGAGCTTGGTAGACTTTGAGTCAGTGTTTGAAACCAAGAAGTTACCTACCATTGTCAGTGGTTTGGTTTGAAATGTGTGTTTTTCTTTAGTTTATTTCCTCCTCGTCTTCATCATGCAGAATCATTTTTCAAACATCTCAGCATAGGTGGCAGTGATTGTTGATGAATATGATTCTAGAATTTTTTGGGTGTTCATTGTCCACAATTAACTTCACAGAGAGAAACCTAAACTTTCTGAGGTCAGTGGAATAAATAATGCCCTATTCTTTTTTTTTTTTCTTTTTTAGGTTATTTGAGAATGTCATTATGTTCCTAGAAATGTAATAAGAGTAGATTTGGGCTGAGATAGTTTGAGTTTGTTGGAGAAGGAAATGGCAATCCACTCCAGTGTTCTTGCCTGGAGAATCCCAGAGACGGGGGAGCCTGGTGGGCTGCCGTCTATGGGGTCACACAGAGTCGGACACGACTGAAGTGACTTAGCAGCAGCAGCAGCAGCAGCAGTTTGAGTTTGTAAGGAAGCGGTTAAAATGCCATTTCCTCCTGGAAGATGCTAATCAACACTGTTCATATGAGTTTAGATTTTGTCCTGTGTAATAATTTAAGTTCCTAGGTTCTAATAACACTTAATGTGTAGCATGGATCCCACTTAATCTCCCCCCTGGCTTCACAGCAAAATGTTTACATGAGTGAACTCTCAATTTTTATATTAGCTATTTAACTTCTGTCTTTCCAGAGTTAATACTATTTCCATAATTAAGCATATTCAACAGTTCCATCAGAGTATAACTTTAAGATGCTGTTCCTTTTTGTCTTTTTTCAAAGCCATCTGTTGGCTAGGTCAGCAGAGAAATGGGGGTCTGGTTGTATTTTAAGGCAGGTAAGTTATTACTCTACTATTGTATTAGACATTAAACTTCAGAGAGAGTAAAAGATAAAATTCCATCATATTTTCAGTTTGTTACATTTGCAGCAGAAATATGTGTGCCCAAATTGGTTATTTTCAACTCATGACAGCTGTGATATTTAAAATGATCACAGCTGTTGTGACTTAAAATTGGTTTTTCTATTAACACCTGAGAAAAAGACCTGTGCCATATTAGAAACTTAAATAAGGTAACTGTAAAATTAGATATGTTGATGTGAATCTGGTAATCGTCCTTCCCAGAGGTTGCAAAGTGCAGCAAACCTCTTGCATGCTTGCAGGGAAGGAGCTGAAACTACTCAAAATAGATATGTGATTGTTAAATGCATTTACCTTTTAAAGAATTCATGTAATAGCAGATCTTCTTGGCCCAACTTCCAGTGTCAGTCGCTAATAAAACCTTTAAGGATTCAGTTGACTTAATTAACCTCCAGAAGGATGACTCACATGAATCATTATGAGATCCTAACCTCTCAACTTTTTTTTCCCCACCTTTCAGATGACACTGGAAAATGCAAACCCACACTAAGTTGTTCCTTATGGAGGAAGTTTTGGTTTTATGGCCCTTTTCCTCCATTGTTTTTAAATTAAGAAGAAAAGAAAAACAGATGAAAAAGGAGAAACAAATTACGCCTAAGCAAATTATGCCTAGGCTAGCACTTGTTTGGGAAATCTGTCATACATTTTTTCAGGATCCCTTGACAGGTCTATTTTAACCTGATTTAGAAAGAGATGGTGCGTCCTACACGTGTTTGGTTGAGCTATTTTGATGGTGACCTTCTTAGGACACTCAGTGTTGGAATCTTGAATGTGTTAGGCAATCAGTCACCTATTTAACAATAACCCAGGCAAGTTTAGGTATTGGGATAGTTTCACATTTTGAAGTGGATGATATGCTGTATAAAATACACAGCTAGCCCGATGCAGAATTATTTATAGATAATCGTGCCTTCTCAGATGCATTGCCAATAGGGAGCTATGTAGATTAAACTCCTTGGCTGGTCCTAGGCTTTTTACCTGTGTACCTCAATCAGAATTGAAAGCGTGACAGCCTTTATGATGATAAATGTATGGCCAGATCAGGGAAAGGATGGAAGGATGGTTGGATAGATGACATAACTAGACAGTAATAGATAATGCCAATTATTTTATTAACTTGCTTTTTCATCAAAAATTTACATACACTGTATTATCTTGGTTGTTGTTTAGAATACATTTGTGGGAAATAATAAACATTTCCCATCACATAATCAAATCACAGTACAGATGGTTCCAAAAGTTCTAGCGTGAACATAGGTTATTTGTTTCCCAGTAATAAGCCAGGACTGATGAGCACCACAAGATCAAAGATAAAAATGTCACTTATGAAGGGGTCAGGAATACAAGTTGATACTTTCTTGTTTGATTGAAGGAAGATACTTGTAGTGAGGACCATTGTTTCTGTGAAGGTTTATGAAAATGGAAGTGGATATTCAGCGTACTCTGATTGCAGGTAGATATCTTTGGGGACCATGGCACTCCTCCGCAGGGGACACAGGGCAGTATCTGGAAAATTCGTGATTGTCCCCACAACAGGAGTGGGGTGAGAGTTTGTGCATGTCATCCGGGGGATAGAAGCCAGTGACGCCGTCCATCACCCTGTAGCGCAGAGGGCAGCCCCTGCTCATGCCGAGGTTGAGAAGTCCTACTTTACAAGTAGTATGCCTGGACCTGAGTAATTAATTCCTGGCATGGTGAACCACCATGATGGTAGCTTCCTTTTCTTTCCTTTCCTTTTCTGTTTTCTTCCCTCCTTTCCTTTCCTTTCCTTTCCTTTCCTTTCTTCTCTTCTCTTTTCCTTTTCTTCTCGAACAATTCTCTCTTCTCTATAATAACACACTACAGTATTACACAGGTATTTTAATCATGCACCATGAAAATGTGAGATTTTATTTTCAGTGTGGTAAATATAGTACATTATTTGTGAATCACCTGGAATGGCTTCCAAACAACTAACTGTTAAGATACGTTGAGTCAATAAGGTACATTTCTCCATACCCTGAACATATATTGATATCTTACTTTTCAAAATACCTTGAATTCTCTCTCATAGTATATAACGGTTTATTGGAATCATCCAAAAGGAAAACATTTTCACCATTAGTTTTTTTCTTCAGAACATAAAAAGGAAATAAATAAGCATCAAGAAACTAATAAAGTTGAGTATTTTTGGCAATAAGGATATTTTTGCATCATTAACCAGGTCCTCTGGACCAAGGAAAGTTTAAAGATGAAAACCCACATTAAAGACTTTCTGTTCAGCTTTCCCAATAGCACAGCTTCTTTCTCCACCCACAACTGGGGATCTCTCTTCCTGCCACTGCTGTGCTTCCATCAGTGTTGAATAATGCTTGGCAGTGATTTGGAAGTGATTTTAAAACCTTGATTGCCTTCCCTTGCATCCTGGGGAGGAAGGTGGCGGTATCTGGTGGCAGTCTTACACCTGCCAACTTGTGGAACCCAGAAGCACACCTCGTGTCTTAGGTGCCAAGGTGTGGAGAGCGCTGCCAAGCCTGGCAGTAACTGCTGCTGCTCCGCAGTCTCCTCCGCAGGCCGAGCGAGGTTCTCCGGGGCTCCGGGAAGTAGAGCGGGCGCCGGCGGGGTGGCAGCTCGGATTGGGAGTCTGTCTTTGGTGGAGGATGTGCTCTGTTCCCTGGTGACTCGGTGGTAAGGAATCCACCGGCCAGTGCAGGAGACCTGGGATCCGTCCCTGGGCTGGGAACCCTGGCGAAGGAAGTGGCAGCCCACTCCAGGGTTCTTGCCTGGGAAACCCCGTGGACAGAGGAGCCTTGGCGGGCTACAGCCCGCGGTGTCGCAGAGAGTCAGACACGACTCAGTGACTGAACAGCAGAGAAGGACAACAACATGCTTCCAACGTTTGCCCAGCCCATTGGCTGTTCCATTCCAATTTACCTCACACGTGTCCTCAGACTCTGCACTGAGAATCTTCGTGTTCCCTAACTAGCCTAGTGCAGCACTGTTCTGTAAAGTCACATTGATGCCTTTGTGCCTGTCAGAACTGAAGCCGTCTTATGAGATGGCCCTAAGTTTACATTTATTTTGGTGGGGTTTCTCTATTTTATTGCCTAGAGTTGACTGTGTTCAAAGTGAACAGTGGAAAAGAAAATGTGTAAATATGTTTATGTGTATGTCAGGCAAGAAATAAAGATGAGCATTTTTGATGATCATTTCATTGATTTGGGTATTTCTGGTTCTGGGAGATAGTAAATTTTTTAGTTGCAAATTTGCTCTAAGTTAGAGCTCTTTGAAAAAGCATGGATCTTGCTTTTACTGTTGATCAATCATCGATTATCTGTGTTGGACTCTCAGTAACATTCTTCTGATCAAGTTTCACTCTCTGAATATTCTTAGAAGTACAACTTGCTTATGCATTGTTTTTGGAATGTTATTCAGAGAGCCTGCTTTTGTGGTATTTTTCAGATATGTATGGAGTCTAAAAATCAGTTTTACTGTGAATTTCGGTAATTACTAGGAAAGTGGTTTACAGCTGAAACAAAGCTTTCAGTAAATACTTCATTGAGGTAATAATTCATGTTTAATAAAGCACACATGCAAGCCTCAGTCCTTTCTGATTGCTTTCTCAAACACCTTCCAATCTAGACCTTCTTGCATCTCAGTAGCGTAAGTGGTCCAAATGCTGCTAACCCGTTTTGCAGCCTGGATAGGCAAGCCAGCTCCTCAGTGTCACTGGCCACGTCTCACGTGCTGGGAAGTCGCATGTGGTGCTTAGTGGCCATTGTTTTGGACAGCCCAGATGTAGAACGTTTGCATCATTGAAGAAGGCTCCTTTGGACATTGCTGGTCTGGGAAATGATAGTGTTACAGGATTAACTCACCTGCGCAAGATCATATGAGTTATAACAGAACTCGAGGCACCCCGGTTGTGTATTCCAGTGTTTTTATGAATTTTCATAGCTTTATGTTCCGCACACATCTGAAGTTAAAGAATGGATCGTTTACTGCTACCTCACATTCTAGTGAATGTGCATATCATCTGGGTTTATCTTTTTTTTTAAGTTTTATATTTAAAATGGATAACCAGCAAGGACCTACTGTATAGCACATGGAACTAGGCTCAATGCTATGTGGCAGTCTAGAAGAGAATGGGCACTTGGGGGAGAATGGATACTTGAATATGTATGGCTGAGTC